TTTTTTTTTTAAGGGGAATGATATGCTGGGTCTCTAGAATCTCAATCTGTCTATAGAGTTTCTGGGTCATTTGGTAGAAAACAACCATTTGCGAAAGGATGCACATTATCTTCTGCTTTATCCTGGCTCCCAGTCTCTTAACTGTTGAATTACATAGATATATTATTAATAAACACTACTCCCTAACAAAGAGGTAGAAAAGATTCTTTAAAATATTATTTGGTGCGACTTCATCAAATCCTATTTTTCAGTATAACAGAATGATTTGAGACCAGGTTTTATCTACCCAGTTGTATTTTCTGTTGCTGGGAATGTTAGTAGAAATATGAAGTAGAAAGAAACAGGTGTATGCCCTACTACTGGTGTAAATTGCATGAGGCCTTCACTGTTTTACTAGTTGCAGCTTTTACTACAGAAGTTACAATTCTTTCTGCTAAAATAAGGTGCGGTTTCTCCTGTTTGCACTTCCTTTTTAACTCTGTGGTTCTGTGGAAACCAAGAGCACACTTACTTCTCTCTGAAGCTGTAGATACAAGGTGTATTAGACATGTCTTTTTTTGCTATATTTTCTAGTTCACTTTTTTTTCCTAGCAATGATGATTATAAAGCCAACTCCTTTGCTGTAGTAGGAGTTTAAAGGCATATGCAACTGTTGCTAAGGAACAGATTTCTCAAGAAGACAGCACTGCATGGCACTTTCTGCATAGTTTATGCTACAGTACTTTCACCGTAGCGTTTGATCAAAGAAACCATACTGCTTATGGTTTTCTGTAAATTGCATCTGTAAATGGATCCAAAACCAGAAAATTCTTCATTAGCCATAAATTAGCAAATTCATTAGTAATATGTGTGTGGATAGCTTGCTGCTGCAGATTATCAGGTAGAATTCAGCTTCAAAAGGTGATAAATGTAAACTGTGGAAGAAAGAGATCTTACAGTTGCTATTAATGTTACTTCTGTTCATTGTCAGTTATTGGAGTGATGCTTATAAGTATGGACTGTATATATCTGTAACTGGTTTTAGATAGAAAGGGAATAAGGTTTTAGATAAAAAAGGGAATAAGAAAAGTGGACTGTTAGTTTGTGGAAGATGGGGTAACTGCAGCTACAGCTTCTAGTGGTATTGTTTCTTGCTTAACTATGAAAGCTGTGCATAGACCTGATCTGACTGATCTTCATGCCCTATTTCATATTGTTTGCAGAAGAATAGTACTTCTATGGACAGATGGACTTGTTTTGATCAATTTGTGAGTCTAGGAAGGATTTAAAATACTCTGTTTGATATAGCTAGCACTGACTGTGCATAGAATTGCTGTAACACACTTATATATTATCAAGAAATTTCCATTACTTGGGAAAACAGATACATTCTGCCCTTCTTTATCAATAATATTCTGGACACCCACTGGAAATCGAAAGAAGCCATGATAATGGCCATTTGGCTTATAAGTAGTTATTAATAAATTCCTTATTTAGAAGTTTATATGAAAAATAGACTAAATAGGTTAAAAAAAATACCCAAAGCATTGTATCTTCTTCTGTTACATGAGTAGGTATTTTAAATGTGTGTTGATTGCATGTATTAAAAGTGTTTAAATCAATAACTGGGAATTATTAAATAAAATTATTAAAGAATATTATATATTATAGAAAAATCCCATGTTTATTCCTTAGTGATATGTTTTTTAGGTAAAGTTCTTTCTTATTTTGGCTTTGTGACTAAAAGTAAAATGGTTGTGTACTATCATTGTGAGAATTTGTGTGCATTAGTTTTTCTTCTGCATTAATTGTTGATATTCCTATATACTGTTTATTTAAAATGGTGCAGAGTGTTTAATGCCTCCATTCATTAAATACTAATTTATTTTATTAGTGATTAAGCCAAGACCACATACTTATTGGTACCTTGGGATGCCAGCTGTTTAGTGTTTTGGGTGGTATTTTTGTTTGTTGTTATTTTCTTACATTTTGCCATAAGGAGTCTAAATCACATGAGTCTGATTGGTACAGGTGCTGTTAATAAAGGCCTTACTCTTTCTTCTATATAGTGAAACAGTCACATTGAATAGCTAAGTTTGTTTAATCTTATTTCTTTTATTTTTAACAACTTGCTAATAGGAATGAAACTGCTTGTACTTTTTCTACTGAAAAATATTCATGTAGAACTGTGAAGATGAACAGAATGAGACATTTAAAATTGTATGTTTGCATTTATTTTCATTACCTACTCACAGCATGTCTGTATATTGTATTTCAGTTAGCCTCTAGAGTAAGTGAGAAGCAAGTGTCTGGTACAGATATAGGCATGAGTGGAAAGATTCCTTTTATGGGAACAAAAGATCTTTGCTGTTTCTCAATAAAGAAAGTCATGTTTTACTTCGTAGTGAAATTGTAGGCTCTTGCTTGTAGTTTTTCCAGCTGCACTAAACACAGTTCTCTAGCACAGTGTGACTTCTACATGTCAAACTGCACAACTTTTGAGTTTTGACCTTGAGAAGATTTTTTTTAAGCAGGCCTTTTTTTTTTTTAATTCAGGAGGATGTATGAAGTTCAAGATTTACTTTAAGTAATCTTATTCTTTGTTATTACTGTGTGCTCTTTTTCAGCGATTTCAGTTTCTATTTAGCTCCTAACTTAGAAGATTTGCACATAGAATTCTACCTTTTGTACTTAATATTAGAGGACTTTTTGGAAAGAACTGTAATTTCAGTCAGAGTTGATGTGACAGACCCGCATTTTATTTGACTGATCATGATAATTCAGACTGAATATACCCAAATGTGTATTTATATGAATGTTTTCTATGAAATGAAACTTGTGGATTCCCGTGTCCTGAAATCCACTGAAATTATGAAATGCATAATTATAGTAATCCAGACCATTGTGTTAAATACAACAGTGAAACTTAAAGATTATTCTCTTTTCTCAAAAGCACAGTTAAATTATTAAAATAACTTGCATGCAATACTTGTATTTTATTTCATTCAGTATATCTTCCATTCAAATCGTGTGCTGTATCTCATTTTCACCAATGATGAATTTTTTTTTTTCAAATGTGAAGATCAAAAGCAGCCTTGGCTGCAGTGACCATGAGATGGTGGAGTGAAGGATCCTGTGGACAGTAAGAAGACTGAAAAGCAAATGCTTAGCCTGAACTTCAGCGGTACAGGCTTTGGGCTCTACAGATTTCTTCTTGGAAGAGTTCCATGGAATAAGATAATGGAGGGGAAGAAGAGGCCTGAAGAGCTGGTTTGATATTCAAGGATAATGTCCTCCAAGCTCAGCAGAGGTCCACCCCAAAAAGAGAAGTTGGGCAAAAATGCCAGGAGGCCTACATGGGTGAACAAGGAGCTCCTGTCAAACTCAGAGATACGTACAATATAAACACAAAAAGGAAGTACACAGAGGGTGGAAGCAAGGGTGGTTAATTTGAGAGGGCAAAAGGAAGACTAGGAAAGATGGGGGCCCTTTTCTGAACAGTGTGGGGAACCAGGTTACACAGGACAAGGAAAAGTATATCCACCTTTGACTCTTCAATAGCAAGACTGGCTTTCAGGAATCCCAAGTCACAGAGACTGGGTTGGGGAGGGAGGGGAGGGAACTGGAGCAAAGAAGATGTACACATACTGGAAGAGAATAAGGGAATGTTTAAGCAGACTGAAAATACCTAAATTCTTAGACCCTCATGGGTTGCACCCATGAGTGCTGAGGGAGCTGGCTGTTGTCTTTGCAAGACTACACTTGATCTTTAGGCAACTGTTGTAACTGGGATGAGTGTCTGAAGCCTGGAGAAAAGCAGATGACTCCTGTCTTCCGGAGGGGCAGGAAGGTGGTCCAGGTGGCAGGTCAGTCTCAGCCTTTCATTAATAATCTGAATGATAAGGCAGATCATAACCTCAGAAGGTTTGGTGAGATGCAGAACTGGGAACAGTGACTAATACATCAGAGGGTTCTGCTGTTCATCAGTTGGACAGAGTGGAGAAATGGATGAATGGAATATCAGAGCCCTGCAACTGGTGAGGAACTCTGAGCATCAGGACAGGCTGGAGGCCTGATGGAAAGGTGTTCTGCAGAAAGGGAGCTGTGAGTCCTGGTTCCTTTGGAACAGCAGGATACACTTTTTCACTGTGTGAATGACTTAGTACTGACAGTACTCTGGGTGCTGCCCAGAGAGTCTGTGAAGTATTCTCCCTGAAGATCTTAAGAAGCTATCTGGTCATGGTACTGGGCAATATGCTCTGGGTGTCTCTGCTTGAGCTGAGGCTTCAGACCAGATGGCCTCCAGAAGTCTCTTCCAATCTCAACCAGTCTGTGATTCTGTGGAATTACTTCAGTGACTGTGGTTAGATTTTACTCCCAGAGTTTAGAAGTTTGTTGCTTGAAACAGATGCTTATGGCTGAGTTATCCTCTCCTTGATGTATAAAAAGTTACTGATGTACAAGAACTCTCATCTCTGGAACTGAATCCTTTGCTTTCTCTTATAATAGCATCTTTGGAAACTGTTCTTAAATTGACCAAGTGTTCCATATTGAATACTATGAAGAAAGCAATTGTGAGAGTAAAGACTATCAGTTAATGAAGGCAAACGCAGATCATCTGTGTGCTCAGTCTGTCAGGAAAAAGTGAGGAAAGTTATTTACTGGTGAGGATGGAATTGTATATTATAGGTTCATGTCTATCAGATAACTTACCTCTGCGCTTTAACTTATTTTCATTTCTGTCCAGTCCTAGCATGATGGTACTAAACTGACTTTTGTAATGCTACTTCATTTCCTGCCACGTGAGACCAGGAACAATGTTGTATTTCTTGTCCATTGCTAAGCGAGTCAATTCATGTCAATTAAGAATGTACAATAAAATTATTCAGTTAAGTATTTTGCCACCTTTTTGTCAATCTGCCAGACTAATTTGAAGACTTCATGTGTAATG